GGCTCCGCCTATTAAATCTGTTAAAAAATCCGAAGTAAAAGAAGTTATTGATAATCCGAAATAAAAAGGCACCTGTATATAATATATGTAATATCTAGTTTAGTACAAAAAATCTACCCAACGAAGGCGTAAGTTTATTATAATCACTTATATATTTAATTCAATATTAAAAACAGGTTATTTTCCACTCCAATGGCAAGTTGCTCAAATTCTTCTTATTCCAAAACCTAATAGGGATCACACGGAAGTATCTTAATATCGCCCAATTAGCCTTTTTCCCAATTATCTGCAAAGTGTTTAAACGGCTTTTCTGAGAAGACTGGAGCTTATTTTCTATGATAGTAATGTTTTATCAAATTATCAGTTTGGGTTTATGGAACACCACGGTACCATCGAGCAAATTCATAGGGTAGTAAAGACTATCAAAAATTCGCTTGAACACAAATATTACTGTACTGCTGCATTTCTAGATGTCTCTCAAGCATTCGTCAAAATTTGGCATGTAGATCTTATCTTCAAAATTAAATCCATATTTCCTCATCACATAAGTTCACTTTTAGAATCCTACCTAGCAGATAAATTTTTCAAATCAAATGAGGTGGGGAAATCTCTAACCTGTTTTCAATATGTTGTCTCCAAATCTTTAGAAACAGAGTATAGTATCATAGGCGGTGAAATAACAAGTTTTTAATCTGGTTTTTCTAAAACTTTTGTCGATTTTTTTTAGACTTGTAGTACTCATATTTGTTGTCAGTCTTGTTTATCTGTATTAAACTTTGTTTGTTTAAATTAATAGTTATGTCATAGATTAAATTTCTAACATTATATGTATTATCTGGGTACTCGTCACTGGGCGGCTTTCTACTGTGTTATTGTACATAAAGTATTCTTTGCTATTGCTTATTAAATCACGTACTTGAAATCCGAAGATTTCTAATTGACGATACCACGCATTTCTTAGAAGGCACAGATTAAAGCGAAAATCTGGATTTTGCTTTCATCAATTAGAAATCTTCGGATTTCTAGTTCTTGATTTAATATCATATATCGCTATTGCGTCCATAGTAAAGCAATTTTATCGTTGCTTCCTTTTCGACAGGAAAGATTGTTTTCACGTTCAGGGCTTCTGTGAATATTCGCTCCGAAGATTCCTTTTAGGATGAAATACGTATAAGCGAATATATAGAGGCACTATACGTAAAATCAAAATCTTAACTGTCTGTCTTTTTTTTTCGATATACTCTTTATGAGTACGAGAAACCAATTCGCCAAGGATTTTTGCTTAGTTGAGGAGATATGTTGTGGAATGCAATTTTAGATTGCCTATTTTTGCTAATTACACCTTTATCGACGTCTGTTTTCCTTGCAATCCTTAGAAGCCACAGATTAAAGCAAAAATATGGATTTTCTGTGAATAGTCGCTTCGAAGATTCCTTTTAGGATAAAATACGTATAAGCGAATATACAGAGGCATTATACGTGAAATCAAAATATTAACTGTCTTTCTTTTTATATTACTTATTGTTTGTAATGAGATAGATTGCAATTAACATTGGATGTTAAAAAAAAATCTGATAAGGAAAAAGATTCGCTTAAAAACCTAGTGGTACAGGGAAAAGTTGAAAAAAAACCCAAAGGAATGTCACTCACACGTTATGTTGATCAAACTGAGCTAGTACGGGTTGTATGACTGTCTTAAATAAACTAGGATACCGTAGCAAGGTTACGATAGCTTGGGTATCAGGACATAAGGGTAATGAAAAAGCAGGCGAAATTGCCAGACAAGACTCACTAATGCCAGTTATTGGACCGGAACCCTTCTGCGACGTTGCAAAAGCAGTAACAAGAACAGCTACAAGAAAGTGGGTAACACACAAATCAAATTTGTCCTGGTGGAGGAATTCAGAGGACAAAGACAGGAGAAAGAGTTCATTAGATAACATTCGCCAAAGTTACAGCAAACCTAATAAGCAAAGACAGGAAAACAGTCAAAGCCATAGTAAATCTGTTAACAGGGCAGATTATCTATCTATCTATTTATTTATCTATCTATCTATATATCTATCTACCTATCTATCTACCTATCTATCTATCTACACTGATCAAAAATCAGAAATGACATGCACATCTGTGTTCAATTGCATTAAAATGGCTGAAAATAGGGATGGATGGCGTCAAAAAATAGTTCACTCATAAATATATGCCTACATTATATGCCATGATGATCGTACTCGGGCGAAAGACTACGAAGAAGAATAACTAAAATATGCAGATGTATTACTTTCGAAGAAGCTCCACAACAATGCTTGTAAATACTGGTGGTTATCTAATAATCTTAAACGATATATGAGTTTAACAACAGGAGCAGAAATGTACTTTAAAGACTGTATCACTAATAAAATATCTATAACCAATATAATTATACAGTTCACTGAAACTAATAAAGAAAAACTTAAAATTTCAGTTACTGTCTCAAGCTAGTTATTAAGACAGGATACACTTAACAGGTGTAAAAATATCTGAACAGATCTTTATACAGATTTATCAAAATTTTAGAGTTAATCAAATTACTTTTGTGGAGGACTTGGAGAGAGGAAAATTTCTCCAAAGAATGGAAAACGGGACTTATAGTAACAGTGAAAAAAAAACTAGTAAAGATATTGTAAAACCTGAAGAGGAATCACATTTCTGAATACCATAAATGAATTTACAACAATCATTATAAATAACTGATTGACAAACAGTGTGTAACCAATTTTTAGGAAAGAACAAGCTGGTTTCTAACTAAATCGATCATGCATACACCAAATTAACACTTCTTAGAGTAATAGTAGAACAGTTGCAGGAACTCAAATGTCCACTCTTCATATGCTTTATCGCCTTCAGGAGAGCCTTCGATACACTCACATATATAGTCATAGAGAAAGCACCACAGGAAATAGGACTAAATAATAAATCTCATCAAAGAATATACAGTAATATACAAAGCCAAGTCCTACACAACGGCATAACATCTAACCAAATGGCTGTGCTAAACGGAGTAAAACAGGGCTGTGGTTTATCACCCTACTATTAACATTGTTGTAAACTCCATACTAACAAGAGTAACAAAGTAAACTCTTAATTTACCAAAATGGAGTTGCATGTCCAAAACACGAAATGCAACTCCAAGTAAAAAGATTACAAGAAGAATCAAATAAGGTTGGTCCTGAAATAAAAATCAACAAAACCGAAGAAATGAGGTTTGGCACTAAAAATAACCAACTTTTTATGATTAGCAACCAGACAATTGAGTGAGTGGTGGAATTTGTATATCTGAGTAGCATAATTGACTGGTACAGAAAGTGACGAGCAGAAAAAAATTAATAAGATTCGTAATATCTACAATATGCTTAACATATGAAAATCCAGGATATACCCAACTAAACCAAATTAAAAATCTTCAACACAAGGTAAAGCTGTATCACTATATGGATTTGGAATTCTTAAAATATCAGCACCTATAGTACATCAATTGCAATAGGTATGTAAAGTGTATACAATAGAGCGTTACAAAAAATCCTTCTTATATTTCGGCCAAATCTAATGTCGAATCAAAATTTATGGAAGTGGCTTGAAATCAAAGCACTAGCTAGAAATAGAGTTCGTTGGAAACACTTCAGGATATAATGAGATAGTGATGCGCAACATATAGCCACTTCTATTCAAATATATATAATTAACGTTTTACTATGAGTGTTCGTGGTTCAACTTTATAAAATTCAAATAGAAATTTGATGTCATTAAAATTTAAAACTTACTTATTTAACTAGCAGTTTATAGTGCAATAAATTTATATAAATAGCGGAGAAAAAAGGCACTTGAGAGACAACCATATGGAATTAAAATAACGGGGAACTACTTAATGTGATTAGATATGCAGACGATACAGTAATTCTGTCAGATAATATTGAAGGTCTCCAAATTCTGCTTGATCATATTCACGAGGTAGGAGAGGAAATGGGCATTTAAATAAACTCATACAAAACCAAATTTTTAGTGTTTAGTCGTGACCCAGATCCCGATGCAAATTTAATTAAACGAAGTCCAAATTGAGAAAGTTCACAAAATGACATATTTGAGAACTGTGATAAGGGACCAACTAGATCCAAACATAGAAATAAAACGTAGAATAGCAATGGCTAAAACTACTTTTATGAAAATGAACTCAATTCTTTGCAATAATCATCTCAGTTTAGAACTAAGACAAAGAATGGTTAAGTGCTATGTTTGATTCGTACTTTTGTATAGTGCAGAAATGTGGACGAAAAGTATCGATCATGAACAAAATTAAAGCATTGGAAATGTGGGTTCATAGGCGAATACTGAAGATACCTTGAACAGCAAGGAAAACTAATCAAGAAGTACTAAGGAGCGTCAACAAAGATAGAGAACTGCTAACGACTGTTAAACATCGAAAAATGTTTTAGGCAAAAAGGATCCTTAAAGGCAAAATAGAGGGCCATAAAGGTGTAGGAAGAAAACGGGTTACTTGGTTGAGGAACATTCGTGAATGGACTCGGATATCAAATAGGGGACAATTATTCCATATTTTAGAAGATCGAGAACTCTTCGCAATGGTGATTGCCAACGTCGGATATAATTCTGATATGGCACGCGAAGAAGAAATCGGAGAATTATATGTTCTTTTGATGCTTCGTACGAAAAAGAATAGTACACAACTATTGTAATGGGCCAATAACTCAATCGTACCTAGCTCGATATGCTCACTGGCGTCCGTAAATTTCTCACCCGTGTGTAATAAGCTCTTCACATAAAAAGCAAGTAATTATATTCAAATTATGAACGATTTATCATTTTTTTTTAATATAACCCTTTATTTTAATTTAAAATTTTATCTTTAATTTAATTTAAAATTTTAACCCTGTAAATAGTAAAAAATAACCCAACATATTTGCCATAATATATTAAACTTTTGTTCTCAAGTTATCTAAACTCACCTGTTCAGTGGACTCTAAGATATCCCAAGAGCAGTTCTGTACCGCCAATTCTCCGGCATTTGTAGGAGGCCAGCATAGAAACCCATCAAAGACTCTTCGGCACATGCCATCCTTCGTCAAATTTTTCTGGTGTGTATTAAAACATTTTTTTCTCAAGCTAAGTATAACATCTGTACTGTTCATGTTGAGTATTGCTCAAAAGCTCGACGATCTAAAGTGACGTGTTAAGAAAATTGAAAGAACGTAAGTTAATATTGGGCGTGATTTAATAATGTATTAATGTGTTTGTTCGTGCCGTGACAGAGATGAATTGAATTCAATCATGTAAACAGCCTGTCTCTTATCAATATTTTTACCACTCGTCTTAAATTACAATAATATTTTATTATTTTTAAGAAGAATATACATACACAGTATCGTTCGTCCACTACTAAAATGAAAAAAGTTAGTAGTTTTTACTCAATCACATTGACTTAGTTACAACATTGATTTGAAAACAATTAAGAAATGTAACAGAAGTAAAATAAAGGAAAGTATTATGTTAAATAAAATTGGATAGGGTAGTAGTCGCGCTAGATTCCTTTATATTTAAATCTATCTATTACTAATCTAAATCTAAATCTAAATCTAAATCTAATCTAAATCTATCTATATTGCTATTACTAATTTCTGAGCATTGTTGGTTCTTCCTAGCTGATGATTTCTATATCTCATCAGAAAAAAAATACCTGCGAATCGCTATTAGTCTTTAAATGATAAGTGTAAAGGCGATAAACTAGTCTAAAATATCGAAGAACTACAAGGTGCGCAGATGAAAGAAAAGGAAGTTCAATACGGTGCGCGACTTTAGTAAACTCAGAACATTGTTGCCAAGTCTTGTCCGAGAGTTTGTTAATAACTATTTTATTTACAATGAGAATACAATTTCTGTTTACTTGTTATTGTTTGCTATGGATGTTTAACTTTCAATTAACAAAATACGTTGAACAAAAAAATCTGCATTAAAAGGGGGTGATATTTAGTTTTAAATCATCATCACAGTCATTAACATCTTAGTAGATGTGTTGTGGTTCATAATTGGGCTTCAGCAGCTCGGACAGTTTGATTAATAATATTTCTCCACTGGTCGCGGTCATCAGTTATATGTATTGCCTCAGTATACTGTTTATTGAGAAGCTTTTTAGTAATGTCCGCCCATCGCTGTGGAGATCTTCCGCGTTGGCGTTGAGTCTGAGGCCTTCCTTGGACCACCAACAGCTCCATTTTGTGATTACTTCGATGGATATGGCCAAAGAACTTTAAAATTCTAGAGTAAACGGTACTGGAGAGACGCTGATCCGGTTTAATTTCATCCAGAACCGAGATATTTGTACGGCGAGCCGTCCATGGAATTCGAAGCAGGCGTCTCCATGTCCACATTTCAAAGGCGTCTATACGTCGTCGATCTGATTCTTTGACTGTCCATGTCTCGCATGCATAGTAAAATATGGAAAAGACCAGAGTTGAAACGAGTCTCTTTTTGTTTGTCATAGTAATGTGACGATCACGCCAGACCCCGTTTTGTTCACTCATTGCTGCTCTTGCTAGTTGAATGCGTCTTCTAATTTCGGATTCACAACTGCCTGTGTTGTTAACTAGAGCTCCAAGATATATCATAGATGAGACTACCTCGCATCCCGCAATAGTTTGGGTTTCAGGAAACTGTTGTTGGCGATCAATAACCATGATTTTGGTTTTGTTGTAGTTAACCATGAGTCCAAATTTAGCACTTTCTACCTCGAGTTTTTTTAATAATTTAATAATTTCTTCTGGAGTAGAGGCTAGAAGTGTAGTGTCGTCTGCGAAACGCAAGTTAGATATCTTAACACCACCTAGGTTTACTCCTCCCTCCCAACCATCCAAAACTCTGCGCATTATGAACTCCGAATAGATGTTAAATAATAAGGGAGATAAAACGCATCCTTGGCGTACTCCCTTCTCCAAAGTGCATTTTTCAGACAGATATCCGTCCATTCGAATATATGCCAGGTTATCTTGATACAGTTTGCTAATAAGGTGAGTCAAGTGTTTAGGTACACCCATTGTCGTCAATATGTTCCATAGTTTGTCCCATCTAACATTATCAAAGGCCTTTGTATAATCGACGAATCATATAAATATCGGGATCTGGTATTCTCTGGCTTTTTCTATGATGTTTCGTACATTAAGGATTTGTTCTCTAGTACCTCTGCCCTTTACAAATCCAGCCTGCTCAGGTGCTATTTGCCAACTTATGAAGTTTTCTAGACGCCGTTGCAGTATGTAGAGGATCACCTTACTGGCGTGTGATATTAGAGCTAATAGCCTGTAGTTGTTACAATTATTTGTTGAACTTTTCTTATGAAGAGGTATGATTATGGTCTTTCTCCAATCCTCAGGCCAGACGCCTGTGTGCCATATTTCATTGCACAATCGATGTAATATTTTCACTCCACATTCCGGAAGATGCTTCAAGACGTCTAGTTTTAAATATTTGATTGGAAAAATAATTTAACTATATCCAAATCATAAATACAATTAAACCGGTCAAAATGAATTATAGTTTTTCCTAACCATAGTGCTACATTTTTTTCTAAACAAAATAAAGACCATTACTCGCATGCGCTCCAATGATGAATATACAATTCTTAAAGGTAATAACTACATCTTAAAATACACCAAATTTCATTTGCATATCTCAATCGATTTCATATCTGATGGAGTTTTCTCTGATTTCCACCAATTGTTGGGGGGAAAGCTTATTAAATTCCTTTCCCCGTGCGTGTACAGTTCCAAATATTTTAGGACCATGGACTGTACAAGAGTGTTTCCTTCGATATATACAAGTCGACTTCAAGGCGCTGGTTCTTTATGTGTTTGATTTAATAGGGGTTGTACTTAGAGAAAAATAATCGTAATTAATTGAATCTACACATTTAATAACAAGAGAATATTTACACAAGCACTAATACTAATGAAAGAGTTCGCTTTAAAACATTGTCCATTATTATTATCAGCGTTTTACGGGCGCGCGAAATTATCGAGAAAAAACAAATACACGTTTCACTGCATTTTGGCGGCAAAGAGAGAGCTTAGGTACCGGCGGTACCGCACAGTTTGAGACTCTAGTCGCATCTGCGAGAGATTTTGAATTGAATCTTTACCTAAATTTTGCCGACAAGGCGGCGTCGGTTTTACCACTTTAAACAACCCTTATAAGCTATTTATGGCACAAATAGTTTGCAGGCAAAAAGTACAGTCTTTAACATAAAATCCAAACTAATATTTGTGAGAACTAAAAATTACACTAAAATTAATATAAAATGTTGTTTTTACAACATACTCGCCCCCGTTGAAGCGCTGGCTTTAACACAAATAAACAGATAATATTACGACAAGAGAGCATGGGGAAGAGAAAATACACTACAATTCTAATCTTATACTAAACTAATTTAAATCGTCATTGGGTAGAGGACACAATTTGGTAATAGAGCGCTTGAAGACTCCATCTTTAGTTTTGACCGAGGCAATTCTTACTCTCCCATCCTTTCCTGGAAAGACCTCAATCACTCTTGCTAGTACCCAATAAAGAGGAGGAGTGTTGTCTTCAATCAACAAGACGAGATCGTTGGGTTCTAGGTTCTTATGCGGAAGAAACCATTGGGGGCGATTTTGAAGTCTGTTCAAATAGTCGATAGACCATTTTTTCCAAAACACTTGTTGGAGTCTGGACAAATGCTGCCATAAATTTAGTCTGTTTTCGGGAATGTGGATCACATCTTTTTCAGGGAATGAGGTGAGAGATTGTCCAATCAAGAAGTGTCCAGGAGTAAGATAAGTAAAATCAGAGGGGTCACTTGAAAGGGAGCAAAGAGGCCGGGAATTGAGCACAGCTTCAATTTGAACGAGGACTGTGGTGAATTCTTCGAAAGTAAGCTTAAGATTACCCAGGAGTCTACGCATATGATGCTTTGCGCTTTTAATAGCACTTTCCCAAATACCACCATGATGAGGGGCTCGAGGAACTATAGTTTTCCAGCGAATATGGGACGAGGCCAAAAATTCTTGAATACAACGGGAGCTTCCCTTTTCCTTTAAAAACTTATAGAGTTCAAACAGCTGGTTACGAGCACCAAGAAAGTTCGTAGCGTTGTCACTGAATATTGTCTGAGGGAGGCCTCTACGACTAATAAAGCGTTTTAGAGCGAGAATAAACGTCTCTGTAGAGAGGCCAGAGACGACTTCAATATGAACAGCTCGAGTCGACAAGCAAACGAAAAGAGCAATATACGATTTTATTAAAGGAGCCTTGCGAAGTTTGGAAGCCTTTATCTGAAAGGGACCGCCAAAATCTAATCCAACGTGAGTGAATGCTCGAGAGGAATTTAAACGTTCCTTTGGCAAATCTGCCATAATCTGGGTAGCGGGTTTGGCACGAAACTTAAAACAAACTATACATTGGTGAATGACCTTTTTGACTTCTCGTAGTCCATTTAAAGGCCAATATTTGAGACGAATTTGGGACAGAGTATTTTGAGGCCCTGAGTGACAAAGTCTGACATGTTCTCTGTGAAGAATGAGACGAACTATACGATTTTTTGAGGGAAGGAGAAGGGGGTATCTTTGATCAAAGGTAACGTCTGAGTTTCCAAGGCGACCTCCTACCCGGAGCATTTCATTCTCATCCAAAAAGGGGTTTAGGGGTAACAGATACTTAGTTAGAGTTTTACCTTTCTTAAGCTCAGAAATCTCACTCGAGAAGTTGGAATACTGGAGCATTTTAATAATCTTAAGTTCAGCGTTTTGAAGTTCGGTGACTTCAAGGGTATCCGTTAACTTGCGAGAAAGCGGTTTAGCATTATTAACAAATCTAAACATATAGGCTAAAGTTCTTACAAACTTTGAAAAATTAGAGAACCTATCAGAAAGGGAGGTGAAAAAATCTATTGTATCATTTCGAGCATGAAGAATGACTTTCCTTTCTTCAGGCAACTTGGAGGTATAACCCTTTGGGTTGTATTTTAATAAATCCAAACGCAGTTGATTTAAAAATGGAGGACCATGAAACCACAAGGAAGAGTTTAATATCTCAGAGGGTAACATTCCTCGGGAGAGTATGTCGGCAGGATTCTCTTTGGATCGTACGTGCCTCCAGTGAGCATCAGGGGAATTATCTAAAATTTGTGCGACCCTATTTGCTACAAATTGGGTCCAACGAGAAGGATGTGAACGAAGCCAAGCGAGAACAATTTCTGAATCC